AAGATATTTCATAACTATATGGTTAATTATAACTAGAAACAACCCCTTCCAGCAAACTCCAACAATATGCAGGGTGAATGTCTGATTCCTGATCTGCTGCTCATCATAACTTAAATTATGTTTTACAGTTCCCTGCTCAGGAATTACTCTTCCCCTCTGTGTTAAAACCTTACCTTGCAAAGCTTAATCATCTCCCCACCTAGTCTATTAGACTTAAGTTACTCTTCATGCGATTATTACTCTTTATGCAATGGCTCATTTTGGAAGAGTGGGCAGAGAAGTGACAGGAAGCTATAATGACAGAGGTTTTTTAGAAACTGGAAATCTATTTCCACTAGCTTTTCTCATCCATTGTATTAGCCAATGCCAAGGTAGTCATCTTTGTTTGATCATGTGACCTAGAACCACTGATGGCAACTTGTCATTCTCTACAATATTATTTGTACAATGATGTTAGCTGACACGTTAGGGATAGAGATGTGCTAAGGGAAGTGTATAGTGCCCTTAAGTCAACACTGGAAGGCTTAGTGTGCCTGCTCTCTCCCTTTACATTAATCCTTTCAGACAGAGCAAGTGAGGAAGACAGTTTTATTTCACTTGGGTCTTAGTGATGCAGTGCGCCTTTGAGCACAAGGATTTCAGTTTTGGTTTGGCTTTCAGGTACTGAAGGCTGGGGTAGAAGAAAATACATCAATTAAAAGACCCAAGCTGACTTTGTACTTCTTTCCTGTTGGCCTGTGTCATCAGGCTTCCGAGCCGGAGAACAGAAGTTTGCTTCAGGCATGCTTAAAAACTAACCATATAGTCATCATGCCAGTCAGAGACCGTAAATGCATTACAAATTTGTAATATACTGTTAGGCATGGCAGTACTCAGAAAAGTTAGCACAATTCTCTATCTTTGCAGCAGTTAACATATAGCTAGAAATCTTGAGTACTTTAGAAAGTAGGTGCATTGTACCAATGAGATTCGAGGAGAAAAAACATATACGAATCTGTCTTAAAGGAATGTATTGATAATAGTTAACTGTTTAGTGTAGGGACACTTAAAAGCAGAGGCACATGAATGATAACGTCTATTTTCAAATTAATGATGACAATCTAAATTTTAACAAATTACTACTTTGTGTTATTGTTTGGTTGGCTCCAATGTTATGTTTATTGGTTGGCTTTGTTAAATCATACTGACAGAAAAGACACTGGCAAATTCATATTATATGAGAAATTATCCATAGATTACAGCAAAGATTAAAAAAAAAAATCAAGTTTCAATATAAATATATTGTTTAACCTTTGACAGCCTACACAGTGACACACACACACCAACACAGAGCACTTTAACAGTGAAGTGACCAGGACTAATTTAAGGAAATATCAGTTTCTTTAGTTTGTGTATTAATGACATTTCATGAACAGGTAAGAAATGTGAGACTGAAGGAATGAATAGGGAGGAGGAGGGATTCATAGCATCTCTAATAAATGCCCAAAGGCAACAAACCTGATAACTATCTAAAAATATTCAAAGGATATAAATCATGATTAGGGGAATCATTTAGGGTGGTGTAAACCGGTATAACTGGCACTAATGAGATAAAAATTACAAAAAGGATTATTTAAATTCATTATCAGAAAAAGCTTTCTAATGGTGAATTCTAATAGAGTCTAGAATAATCTCTGAGGGGAAGCAGTAAAAGCCCCAGGCTTAGAAACATTTAAGTAGTTTGAAACACCCCCACCCCTAACACTAGAAAATATATCCCAGAGAACAATTCTGCACTGTTAGCATAACACTCTACTGGTACTACTTTTTCCTTCTGTCTACTAGTCTTTATTTCTAGGATTTAATGAGTCTAGCAGCAACTCCTAAACACACTGAAGTTTAGATAAAAACAGTTATTAGGAATCCTGACCACAGTTTGTATTACTTTGCAAAGCAGTAACCCCCTGTGGTACATCTTTCCATCCCTGTTGCGATGACCCATTGAACAGAACTGCCTGTTAATCACAATCAAGTGTTTACTCAAGATTATGGTGGTGCAGCATTTACAATAGAATGTAAAACATATTTTGAGATGTATCTCATATTTTTTTGATCATTTTGTGGAGGATCTAACAATAAATATGTCAATGGTTCATTCTGAGAGCAGAGGTAATAGCTTCAGCTCTCAGAATTGTCCAGGGATGATTGTTATCCTTGAGAATTTTTTTGTATCTTATGTATTTTCAAAAATCAAGATTTGTAACTGTGTGGTCACAGGAAATTGGATCATTACAAAAAGTTTACTTATGGGCCTTTGCAACATGGTATAGGGTGTTCCTAGTGCCTCATCCAACCTATGGAGTATGCTGGTTGTAGAAAATCTCTGAAACTAATCAACACAGTTTTCTGTGTGCAAAAATTCTCTTTCTTACAGAATCGTCTAGGTTGGAAAAGACCTTGAAGATCAGCCAGTCCAACCATTTACCTAGCACTGACAGTTCCCAACTACACCACGTCCCTCAGCGCTATGTCAACCCAACTCTTAAACCCGTCCAGGGATGGGGACTCCACCACCTCCCTGGGCAGCACATTCCAATGCCCAACAACCTGTTCTGTAAAGAAATCTTCCTAATATCTAGTCTAAACAAATTAAATTACCTCAAATTAAAATGTATGGTAACTGTAACATTAAATGAGTCACTACAGACAAAATATTTTGGCCCAAATCACCATGGGCCTGCCTTGACAGCAAAGCATTTCCTGCTTAATGCAGGCACAGGGTAGCAACATTCATCATGGTCCTGCTCCCTTCCCAGCTCTGCTGGAGGTAGTGTAACTATTAACTAATGAAGCAGCTATGGACAGCAGCAACCATGCTAAATAACTTCAGGTTCTAGTTCATAACCACAACTACCACCTCCATGCTGGGAATGCTTAGGTGGGGTTTTTTTGTATACAAATATATATGTATACACACACATATGTGCACATGCTTATACACACAGTCACCTTAGAACCTTTCAACATCCTGTATTCGTTTTCCTTCTTGATTCTGTTAGCTGTCAGTTCTGGACATGAAAATAGCATGTCTTCAATTTTTTTACTGTTTCACACTGAAACTTTTAATGTCTCTTGTTTCTAGAAGATTAAATTTCAGCTTTTTTTCACATCAGCTGGAAACCGCAGCTCTTTCTGTTTGATACTCATGCATTATTCTCTTCTACCTTCCTGTTCATTCTTTCCTAAATAATAATTCAATTTTCTAAAAGAACTGACCGCAGTTGATCCATTACACTTTCCAAAGAGCATATCCAGTTAAAACAACCATCGACCATCTCATCTACATGTGTGCATGTTAAGCAGATTGTAAACAAGAAGTTGGTGCCAATTTCAGTACTGGTTTGAAATGTCATTGTTGTCATAGACTTTGTCAGGGTTATCTGATCAAGTCTTTTGTATCTTTTCATATATTTAGGGGGAGGCAGGAGTAGAAAGAGAAATTGTAACAGTTTCTTTGGTTTTGTATTCTTTAGGATATCCTGAAAACTTCAGCCAAAAATTATTTTATGGGTTTATACATCTAAAGGTACCTGAAAGAACTTTATATCCACTTAGGAAATTAAGTGCCTCTGAAAACACAGAATTCTGTCTAGATTTATACAAAAAGAATAGTAGGGCAGCAGAAACTTCCATCAAATCTTCTGGGTTTCTAAAGTATGAGAATATGATTGTAAAACCTTTGTCCCCCATTTGGAGACAGCTTCTCTTTGCATTTGGCAGGCTTTATGCACCTTGCTTAGTGAAAGCTGCACTCTTTTATTGTACAATGTATTTAGCTGGGAAAAAAATTATTCTGCTTCTTTGTTCTCAGTACATGTATAAATACTGACAATACATGGTCCTGTAGCTTCAACATCTGATGAATGCACAATTTCTACATGAGTTAAAGTTGAAAAAAGGAATGAGGGCTTTTTCTGAACTCTGTTTTAAATGTTTTTAATGTTTCAAATTATTGTGAGTTTCTTCATAGGCAATAACTAATGAAAGAGGAACTCAACGTTCTTGACTGTAACCAGTGTAATTCATTTTGCGTGTGTATAGCTTGCTCTACAGTGAGTAAGTAGAGCTGCAACAGAATTACTGAATCGTAACACCACCAAGCTCTTTGACAGTCATTTTCATCTACAGGGTACACAGTACTTTGCGAAGGATGTCAGTATCATTATTCTTATTTACAAGCAGAGAAATGTAAACTGTAACTGACAAACCACTGTTGATACCTACTCAACAGGCAGCAAAATGCCTTTAGGGAAAAAAGGGTACCTGACCTGGGAACTGCCTTTTCATCACCAGAAATGAAGTTATGAACATACAAAACCTCCTGGATTCATTTTCTTGTGTTAAGCTTCAATAATGTGGCTTAGAATTGTTTATTATTTTAAAATTCTCTCTTAGAGGTTTATGAAATAAAAGCCCTTGCTCCCCTTTCACCTTTGCTCTGAGCATTGTGAATTTTTATTTTATTATCATGTCTTCTTTAAGGAAATAAAACACAACCCAGAAACCCATACCAGACTTGTACCTTGTTACTCATACAAAGGTAATGAAGTATAATTACCTTCTGAGATATCGCTGGAGTAATTTTCCTGATAGATTTAGCAGAATTATTTCTTGAGACTGGGTGTGTTAATAGAGTATGTGTTTTACTCTAGGGTAACTTTACTGGTCATCTTTCAGACCTGTCTTTATTCTCCACTGTAATAAAAAGTAATCTGGATTCCAGGAGAGACAAACCAGGAAAAAAACCCAACCGAACAACAAAACACCCTAGTGCTAAAACAAACGGACCGATCACTGGACAGACTTTCTTTTGTTGGTTCACCTGAGACTATAATCTCTTTCAATGGAAAACTAAAACATGTAGCATTAAGGGACCTGATACATTTGAGTTTACAAGACTCCCCACACTGCTTATTATATTGTTTTCTTTTGTGGTTTGTTTGTTTGTTTGGTTTTGTTTTAAAAGCATTTGACCCAAATGTACAAAGATCACTGTTTGCTTCTGAGTGCTGTAGACAGTATTTATATTATATTGCAAAGTGTTGCATGGTTGGGACATCATAAGCATGGGAGTGTTGTTTTTTTTGGCATCACCTAGATCTCTGAGAGACAAGGGTGGCTGTCGTTCTTATGGCTGTTTGGAGTGGAACTTTTACACTATGAGGATTACAGGCTCTGTGGGCAGTGAGGATGTGACATGACCAAAGCTTTTTCTTTCTCAGCTTAGACTGAGGAGGTAGAAACCTAACATTATATGGTTGGTGATGCTGGCTGAAACAAAAGGAAGATCATATTTATATACTGCAATGTTACGTACAATTAACAGTAATATCTTTAGTCATTTCAAAGATCTTCAACTGTCCTTTTAAAATTTTATTTCTATCTCCTCCTTACATTTGCCCAACTGGTGTATGAGAACTGCCTTAAGCAGATATTAAGTAAAGGTCAGCAGTTACAGTGATCATCCAGAGGTGCATTAATCCCAAGGTTTATGGTCAAAAAAGTGACATATCAAGATGAGGCTACTGCACATCCAGGTTTCCCCAAATATTTCCACTTCTTTGTTCAATAATTTTATCAGGGCAGAAACAGAGCCCACTGGCCATTTGTCTGTGATTTCCAGCTAGCCAGCAAGATGACTAGCATCTGAGAGAGATCTTAAAAAGCCATAAATTGGCCCGTTTTAAGGGCGCAGATGCTATATACCTTTGATTCCAGCATTTCCAGATAGTCTCAGAGCAACTCTAGATGTGCTGCCTGAATCTGGGCAGCTGCATAAAACAAGAGATGTATTTCCAATCTAGTTAATATATATTTCTCTATATATATACAAATACATACAATGTTACTCAATTTGTATGTATACAAACTATTATATATATATATATATATGCAATATAATGTATCAATTTGTGTATGTTTGTTTCAAAATTCTGCTCATATCACTGTTACTTCTCAGTTTGTCAACTGTCAATATTTTCAAAAATTTTATTTCATGAAATTGTTTTTTGTCAACACCAGGATTTGATCAAGCCCCAAATATCTAAGTATATTTAAAACACCCTTTACAAGCTGTGACACCTTTATTTTTCTGCCAGATGAGATGGTCTCTTGCTGTTAACCTATTGGTGCTTTTAAAGACTAGTGCGGAAATAGTATACAGCATATATCCAGCTACATTCCATAGAGGTGAAGCAAATTTGCCCCCCAAAATTAGGATGCTAGTCATAATGTCAGACACCAAGATTTTTAGCATTTAGGTCCTTTGCCTACTGCTAGATTCCTGGAAATTGTTTATATGGAAATTACATTTTGCTATGAGACTTTATTGTCATTTTCAATAAGCCCACAAAAAATGGTGGGAATATACTGGTATTGAGATATTTAATCTAGTCAGCATGTGTGAATTAAGGGGACAGGAGACTGTTTTGAAGCCCTGGAGATGTTCTCACAGTTTAAATTCCTCTCCCTAAGTATCCATATGCTTTTGCAAACATCCTTAACTTTGGTATTATAATGTATATTTCAGGATACCAACAGCAGCTCCCCATGGGTCCTGCACACCAGACCTTACCTGCTGTCACCTCAGTGAAGCCTTTCATTCTCATCTTCCGCTAAGCATGGATGGTGGTGGAGATGAATGGGGTGGTGCATGTGCTGGCACCAAAATTTCCAGAGGAGGAAGTGTTGTATCCCAACCTGCTGGGATCCCCACCAAGTAAAAGCATTAGAGCTGCCTCTCAGCTTACAGGTCAGGGAAAGAGACAGCTGAGACACAAACTAGGTGCAGGGCTCAAAAGTCAAGTAAGAGCTGCTGAACTACCCTCTGACCAGCCTTAACCTGGGGCTACTAATGTCCTATGGCATGTTTTTCGGCTTAGGGTCAGGCAGAACAGCTTCTGCAATAGAGACAGTGGATTTTATCCCCGCTAAAGGAACTTTATAACTCTCTGAGTCTTTCTGAGTCCCATTTTCTTCCTGAATGAAGTAAGGATGGTGCATATGCTCACAGCAAGCCCAGCACTGCAACACACCAGAAAGGGAAATCAACTGCACCTTCCCATTAGCCCTTGGTGAGGGAGATCGTCAGTTAAAAAGAAGTCGAGCTACCACTGCAGGATACTATCGCCTGTTTGAATGAACAAATAACAACATTTTATTTCAATTAGTGTTAAAGATGTAATGAACCCTACATGTCTACTTCTAATTTGAACTGGTGTCAGCCAATGCAGTAAATATTGAGATTAATCTCAACAACTGTGCATTTTAAGGTTTACTTGCAAAAATAAAATACCTATGGAGGTGGTAGAAGTGAAAAAGAAACATGAACTATTGATTACAAAAAGCAATAACTCAGTTATATTAATTCAGGTAACACAGTGTATCACTATCTCGAATTTGGATTTCCCAGTTTTAGTTAAGAATTAAAAAAATTTAGAGGCATTCATTGACGTGATGTCATTTTAAACCTCTGACATCACAGATTCCTGATGTCATTTACTACAGGTTCCCCTTCAGAGATGTTTTTTTTGGATGCACTTTTTATTGCTACTGCAGAAAAGGCACCCTTATTTATGTGCCTTCATAGCTCAACCCTGCAACTGGGCTAAGGATAAACATTACATCTTAAAGAACTAGATACTGCAGTTGCCGTTTCAGAGTTTGCAGCATAAAATCTTTTTTTCAGACAGGAAAGGAGAGATTTTTAGCTTTTGGTTAGGGGAAAAAAGGCAGGGGCTTGTATGTATGCATGTATGTATATGTTCTGGTTTGATTTTAAGCAAGTAGTTTACATCAAAAAATAATTCATGGAGGGGAGGCAATATAATTAAAAATATTTCAGAAAAAGTGATATTTCTGTTATTCTACTAATAGGCTTTTGCTCATGAAGCCATTGCTGTTAGCTTCTATACAAATATGCTAATTCTAATCTTCATTTTGTGGAGAAGTATCTCATTCTCACTAACATTTTGCGAAAAGGATTTTTCTGTTTATTTGAATGAAAATGCATAATGCACTCCAATGAGTAATCTAAAATAAGTACAGTGATACATTTTAGTCTGCTGATATGTTGTTGCAAACAGAATCTTAGTGATAACACATACATGCCTGTATTACTTTACTTAGGTTTAAAAATGTAGGTTTATTTACAATAGAGAAAATACTTTGTTTGCGTCTTGTGTAATGTACCAGCATGACCTGAAAAGCTTTGCTTCCAGTAACAAAAAGATAAAAATCTATTAGATGGAGAAACACACTGATGATGACATGAGCATATAAAAGAATTAAAGGCTGTCAGTAAGGTTGTAAATTGCTGTTTTCAAGTTGCCCAAATGTTTGCTGCGATAACAATAATAATAATAATAATAATCAGGAATAACAGAAATTTAAAAAATAATTTAAGTGAAGTTTTAAATCTGAAATTGACTTTTAAATATCTACTTCTAATTTTAAATCTTATTTTTCTTCTGAGCAGAAAGCTTTGCTGATATATGCTGATAACAAGGATCATGAAGAGCCTGCTTCATGTCACTAACAAAAATTAATGCTAGGAAGTCATTTAGGATACTAGGATGCTAGAAAGTGATCTAACATAAAATTTCTGTTCAAGATATTCAGAAATTTTAAAATTATTTTATTATTAAACAAATTTTGGCTGATTTTACAATCTGTATTCTTGCAGATAAATTGTATGTATGTGGGCTTGATTCTGCAGATATTCTTGTAAATTTAATACATGTGAGAGACCAGAAAACTAATGAAACAAGACTGCTTATATAAGAAAACATCTATATTGCCAGTCTTAACAATCAACAAAAAAGAGCATGAAGATCTCAAATTTTAAATTTAGTTTAGAGTTTTTTTCATTTACTTTCTAGTTATTAAACTACAAGGTCTACTTGCTGTCAATCTTTCCCTGCCACTATCAGATGCAGAAACTGTAATTAAAAGAACCCCCAAACCCACCATATATTCTCTATATTCCAAGGCATTCAGGAGCTGATAAAAATTTAGTATTGAGGGAGGTGGATACACTCAAGATTATTCCAAATTACCCTTTGCAATATCATCTACCATAGATGAGTGTTCAGGAAGGTCCTGTTGTGGCAACACTGCTTGCTTCTCTGGGAGACAGGAAAAGAGAATGTAGCTCATTTTAAACAGCAAATTACAAAAGCAAAAGTTAATGATGAAATTGTAAAGAAAATGAAGTATTTCTAGAAAAAAAAAAAAACAACCAACAGACAAGCCACTAGGCAGCATTCACTTGCATGCCATTTTGTTTTTTTACGCATTAGAGCAGTTAGTTATCCTAGTAAGTGCTGCATCGTTTGGTATGCAGAGCATTTGAAGATGCAACAATAATTAAGGAAAGGGGACAAAAAACCACACCACACAGACTTATTAACACATTGTACATAGCTTTTCTTTTTTTTTTTTTTTTCTTTTCCCTTTTTAAACAGTGTTTAAGAAAAATATGCTGTGTTACCGTAACAAACTAAAGTACTCTCTCAACCTCTTAAGAGTTTAGGTTTTGTTTTCACTTCTTTTGGTTCCAGATAGGTTTTATTTGTTCTTGTTCTACTTTATAAAACCCTTTCTTAACATTAATGGCTTCAGGAAGAAGAAATAAGGGAGAATTATGAGCACAAAAGAGAGCTGACAGTTGTGTATGTTGTTACTTTCTCTTGTGCCACTCATAGGTGGGTTGGGGTACAGAAGAAATAGGCCATAATGTTTTATAGAATACAGTCAGACAGGAATTCCAGCTGGCATTCACTAAAGCAAAAGGGAACATTTTCCTCATGTAAAATCGTTTTTTAAATCCCAACCATACATAGCTATGGAATAATGGGGTCACTTATTTTCCACTACTTCAGTAAGATACTGCAGCAAGCTAATGATTTTACAAGACAGACAGTTTAAAGCATCGATTTGCTGCAAATTGCTCAATCCATAACTAATGAGCAGCTCTACAGGTTTTCGGTAAATCAATCCTATTAGAATTTACAGTTTGCATAAGATCATATTACTCAATCTGTGGACATAGAATGGTGTTTTTTTTTTTTTTTTTTTTTTTTTTTTTTTTTTTTTTTTTTGGTAACCTCCAGCAGCCCCTTGTTGCTGTTTTCTTAAACTCTTCTTTTTATGGGTGGGTTGGATAAAATCCCTGTCTTGGGGGTTCTGACAGCATGCCTGAAAAATACACCAAACACTTCTACACAGGCACACATGCATCCCGTGTCAAGTCCTAGTTATATTCCCTTGCCAAAGAAAGACAGTTAACAACCAAGAAGGCAGGACAAGACGACAAATGGAATTCAGTCTCTGTCACCTGTAGCACTAAAACTCTGCCCCAATTTGAAGGTGGATATGTTTTACAGCTGCAAGTGTGAAGTCAAATGGCAACTGTTATTTGGACCCACACAAGTAATTCTTCATAACAAGCTGAAATCTCTTCTGTATGAAAAAACTAGCAAAGGCAAAAACCTCTATGGATTGAGTGACAGGACTCTTGTCACATTCTGTGGTAAAGAAACAAGAAATTGAGAATTATGCTTGCTATCAGATCAAGTTCTAGATTACTTCATTACTAGTGATGCCTGTATGTTTGTACCATGTTTTCTCCGGGCTTCGTAAGAAAAGGGTCGGTTCTATCATTATCAATTACTACAGCAAGATCATTTTAGGCAAAACAGTTACAGGCAAGCAGAAGTTCAAATCCTGTCAGTGAATTCATAGACTCTGAAAAAACACTGTAGTGGTTGTTACAAAAGAGCAATGTGGCTGGAGGGCTGTTAGTACGGGAGTGTTGAATCATCCCACTCCAACTGCTCTTGCCTGGTGGCATTCTGTTTGTCTCCTTTTTGGACAATCACTTCCTCTTCTTCTTCCTCCTCCTCCTCCCCCTCTTCTTCACTTTCATCTGATTCAGCACTGGTTGTGTCTTCCTCTTCATCTTCTATGTCTTCTTCCTCACTCTCTTCTTCTGTCTGGTGAGGCTTTTCATATTTCTACAGTACATTTAAAGAAATAAAAGAGACACAGCAGAAGAAAAGTGCCTTCTTGCTAGACAGCAGCCATGAGAATGTATTTATTCCACATTTAGAAACGATAACATGCTGGGAAAATCTGCTTTCCATTATGTGACTACTGGGCATCAAATATGATACAAATACGATACAGCTCAGAAGGAGCCAGAGGGGTACAGAGCCCTGGTAGAGAAAGCAGTTGTAGGTTAATGGTTGGCCTCAATGATCTTAAAGGTTCTTCCAACCTAAACAATTCTATAATTCTATTCTATGATTCTATGAATTCAGTAGCAAATATTCAGAAACTCCTGTAACAAGAACGGAATGCCAATAAGCAATATATTTGTTTGTTAGTCAATCTGCCAAAATTGTTTCTTTAAATTGCTGGTCATTTCCCCTCCTTTAGTGTGTTAGAGCTTACATTAAAAAGTTAAAAACAAAGTAACTATATCATATTGGGTACCTAGGGTGCAAATATGGACGGAGAGAGAAAGTGATGTTGTGCCCAACACCGTCCTATTTAATAATTATATATGACAACAGATATTAAGTGCTCAATTACATATCATCATGGTGTACAGACCTGAAAACTGAGATGGGGTCCAGAGTGTACATACATACAACTGTTCTGCCAAGCCTAAACAAGTGTACTCTGAAGGAGGCTTAAAACTCACTGCTGAGTAAGCTACCAGCCCAGACAGTAACTCCTGGCAGTACCATGGTATAATACTGTGCCTCAGTTATGTACCTCCATGGGGTTGACAGTAATCGTCAGAGCAGAATCATCCCAATCCATTTCATTTTCTTTACTTCCCTCGTTGTCTGCAGAGCTGTGCTGATGAGCTGTCCGAATTCGATAGACCCCCAAGGTTATGATGAAAATGAGTATGCTCACACAAATTATGATAACGATAGTAGCCACACTTGGAACAACTGGAACAAAAGGTGGAAAAAGGAATGGGCTTATATTTGTGGAACAAACTGACTACAAAACACTAAATACATTGTCTATTTTTTTCCCCTCAGCACCTCTTCCTTTGGATAGAGAATCAGCAGCTATCTGTCATGAGCCTGGAACTACAGAAAGTGTTGACAAGTGCCCACCTACTAAGGCAGAGCATACACGAATGCTGTTTGCTTACAGATATAGTACTATAAATCATAACTAAAAAGTGAGTATGCCTACCGTTTGTTTTTTAAGCAACTTTATTACAGAAGACAAGTAGTCAGTCAGTCCAGAATCAATTAGTTTCAGAACAAGTGTTTTTGCAATAAGGTTCAGTTATCTTACCTGCATGTTGACCCCTTCTGATTATAGCTGAGGCGTTAACTTCTCTTGTGAGAAAAAGTATATCTGAAAGCTTATATTTTCAAAGGTTTCAAACACCTGTACTGCAATTTAAATCTCAGTCTCCAAGAATTAAAACAACTTATTGCCACTCTAGTTGCCTGCACTACAACCTTCCTGGGAGACTCTTGAGGATTCAAGGCATTTTTCCTCACTGTTCAGTTGCACTCTGAGAAGCCTCTGTCTCCACTCAGTCACAGGAAGAAATCTCTGTGAACTACTCATATATTATCAGCCTCCTAATTAGGTTACTGGAGAAGTGCTGCCACTTTCTATGTACCTTTGCTACCTAGGTACTGCAGTTCCAGGAGCTACAGTAGTTCTGTACCCCTTTTTATCACCTTGCCCTGCCTGTAAGAATGGAATTCTTAAATAAGAACACTATTAAGAAAGAACTAGCTTGCAGTAGTTCATTTTGTAAAAATTCAGTTTCATTTTAGTAAAATGTTCATACAAGTGTACCGAAAAATAATTTTCTAAGTATAGCTGTATATAACTATGTACACTTTACATCAGCTTTATTTCTTTACATATGTATCATTCAGCTAAAAGGATTTCAAAATTCAGAATTTAAAAAGTTATCTTTGCTCTGTGTTTAAGGTATACTTTAACTCGTCTAAAAATTCAATTTAAATTCTGTATTGAGTATACACTAATGCCTCCTGCACATGGCTAGGTGGACCTATGTTCTCTCCAGAGAGCTCCAGACTGAGGCCTGGACAGCAGTTAAAGCCCTTTAGCAATTATATATTTAACAAATAATACAAACATTTCTTCCTTTTGCTTAGAAAGGGGTGGACAGAAATTAATATGCCATAGAAATACAGATGCACAAAGACAATATGAGCATAAATATTATCCTTTACCATTCAGTATTAGAAACAAGGCATTTTCTTAACTATGTGGGTCAGAGTACACAACGTTTATTGAAGTCTTAAAAAAGGAGACAAAGTATGTCCTTGGAAAGAAAAGAGAATTCGCTGTTACCTTCTTTCATACCTGTGCAATGATCTCTGTGAGGTTTCAGAAGCTGTAACTATGGACATCAGGGCCTTATTTGTTGGCCAGGCTGAATCACAAAGGAAATGCCAACATACCAGAATCATTATGAGCCGTCTCTGTAAAGTCATCACATACCTGAGTTGTGAACAGTACTTATGCTTCCCTCTGGGTGGTGGACAGATTGGAGAAACTGTGGTTGTATTATCATATGATTTACATGGTCCATGAAGTTGGAGTTGGAGCTGTGTAGAATATTAACCTGTCACAAGAGAAAAATAAGAGATCAGATACTAAGAAGTGCTCTATATTCCTGCTGGCTCCATACATTACACTGAACTATGAAGTTCACCAGCAGATAGGAACATTATTATATAGATCTTAAAGGCCAAATTGACTTTTTTTATGCCATTGAAAAATGCACGTTAATATATTTCTCATTTCTAGCATTAAACCATTTCTGACTGTAGACTATGAAGTGGCACAAAAAAGGATTTTTTTGATTTACTTGTCTGGATAAGTAGCGACTTACTTTCTCTATACTAATCAGATTTTAGATGTTCCCTGAAACTTAGTGGGAGATTTGTCACTCTGAACACTGATAGAGAATGTATCAAACTCATTGAGTTTAAAACTAAAACAGTAATAGAGAATTAAAAGAGATTTTAGTTTTTTCTCCGTCCTTACTTTCAGAGTGACTTTCTTTGAAGATGCCATATCAATCTCTGTCCTACTGATAGTTATAAGCAAAAACCCTGAAGTCATTGTCAGGGCTGCAGAATGCTAAGATGAAAAGAACTTTCAAGACAATGTAAGCATGCAAAAACTTTCAAAACCAATTTTTAAGTTTTGAGCCTGTTGCTAAAAAGGTCCTGTCCTTTCTGTAGTTACTTGGTACCCGAGTTCTAGGCTGGATATGTTGGTTCTTCAGAACTGGTCCATGATTTCTGCTGAGGTGCATCAGCAGTAATTCTCAGTCCCTGAGCCACTGTGCTGCCCTGGACTCAGTACCAACACACATAAGCTCAGGAGAGCTATTTAAATATTCCTGGGGTAACTGACTATGTCTGAGTAGTGGATCCAAAAGAAAATGACAGATGAACTCCACCCTATGTGTTTGTTACCTGTATACTGACTTTCCTCCCCAAAGAAACCTGAAATGATGTAAATTATCAGAAATGATCTCTATCTGATCAAGAAGAAATTATAAAACTTATCATAAGGGGGTAGTGCTTGGTGGAAAAACTGAAAAGATGAATGCCATGGGAAAGAAGAGTGCATTAGGTTAAGTAAAAAAAATAACTGATCTAAGGAAAATCATGAGGCTGTAATTTACTTTCAAGCAGGTGTATAAATCTTCAAAAAGGCTTGTAGGTCTGGAAAAACAATGATGATGACCTTAGCTCCCATTCTGCTTGAACAGGAGTAATTCTCTGAGTTAGTGGAGGTCAAGAGAAGGGTCATCTCATTATATATGTGGAAGAATACAGAGACCCATACTGAGGAATGCCCACAGGAGAAGTCAACTTCCTATTTGAATGGAACTTAGAATTTTTCCTCTATTTTTTTTTTATAGTAACCGTAACATGTCAATCATTTAACATATTTTAAAGAAAAATCGATGTCACAGAAAATAAAGCTAGTGCTCAGTATCAGAGCTGGAAAAGAAAACTTGACTATATGATTGCTTACCTCCAAGTTAAATTCGTTGCTAGTGTAACGTCCATTTAGCTCTGAGCACTTGACTCTGAACTTTCTGTCAAAGGTGACGGAAGTGTACCAGTTACGATATCGAATCTGCTGAAGAACCTGCTCGTAGTTGTGCATGCTGTCCACACCTGAAATGGTGGTAGAGCAGCAATAATCTCAAGGAGATGCTATGTAACAAGTGCTCCATGCAGTACAGGAGGAATCAAATGTTCACAGAAAATACAAATTTGGCAGAATAATCTGAAAATGGCAGTGCATCAAATATTACCTGATAGAGCCTTTGGCTGATACTAAATTATGCGAGAATAGTTTTTGGAAATTAATATAGGTCCATGATGAGAGGAACAAATACAACAGCAATGATTTAGAATAAATCATTTAGTAATCAAAAAAACTGTTCAGTGAGTCATCAGCACTGTGGAGGAGCACTGAGGAATCCCCTCATTCCCACTTGCCACTCTGATGGTTCACAAGAACCCCCACGTTTAAAGAAAGCAGTGTTGCTATTTTCCTTACTTGGGTAGTAGCAGGAGGGATGCTGAGATCAAGACAGAGCTGTGCTGTATTCCAAAGGATAAACACAGTATACCCAGAGATCAAGAAGTGACTATGTTTTTTGAGACACAGTCTCTCCTGGAAGATTTTATGGCTAGTACATCACTAATTTCTGTCTAATTTCTTTCGCATTAGTCCTTTCATCCCAATAATCTAATTGTTGGTGTGAAGAAATAGGAGAAAGCAAAGTCCACGAACATACCATAGATTGAATATCCTGCTGTGGAATTTGTGGCATCTAGATGTTTTCCTTGAAGCACCACATGATCTAGCTCTAAACACTCTTGTTCAGGATCTAGTTCTGCACCAATGACCAAAATATCACAGAAATCCAAGTTGTGAAGCATTTCCTCCAATACCATTGGTTTATTGGCTGTGAACACATGGCATAAAAAAAAAAAAAAAAAAAGAAGAAACTAAGATAAATGATCACAGGACATCCCAGTCATTTTATGTGCTTTGCATCAGGACTTTCAATTTTTGCAAAGATGGCTGAATTGGTTTTTGCCAATATTAAATACAGCATACTTGAAGCAAATCAGAAGAGAAGTGTCTCTTTTGCTGGTTCGGGTGCTATGATGATGATGGCCTACAAATGCTTAGTGAGGCAGATGAACAATATATTGCTTTGTAATAAAAGGCATTCAAGAACAGTATTTGAAATAGAAAACTGAAATTTGATCCTGGAAATAAATTCATGTAAACTGACATGAGTTGTAAACTGACTATCCTTCAGTACGTAGGATTAAAAAAAATAATTCTGATACTGGAAAAAGAGTAGCATATTGGTTTAAATATTTTAATTCTCTGGTCAACTTAGCATACTTGCTAATTCTGGCAAGACTGCTTAACCAGCTCCCTGAGGGAGAGGCTGCAATCTTGGAATTTAGTGCCCATTTTGTGAATTTCATTTTAGAGGGCATGTGGAGAAGGAAGGAACAGATAGAAAAGTCTCATGCCCAAGATTCCCAACTCCTAATACAGGGAATTTGAGTATCAAACTCGAGGCACAGCTCTAACATCTGAAAATGCAGACTGAACTCTAACTTGCACGCTAGGCACATCTGAACATTGCTAAGGTCGATGAGTTGGACTATTTCATGGCAAGCTATGACAGACAGGCAGAAGCTGGGCTGCAGAGTGGGGGAAAAGCCTGCACTGGTCAGCTTTGCTGCTCTGGCTGTCAGTGGGCAAACAGGAGAGGTAGGGGCAGCAATTTTAGCTATTGGTGGGATCCCACTGGTTTCTCTACTGAGGCAGGACAAGCAGCAACGTATTGGCATTCCAGGGGCCCTCCACAGGTAAATAAGGCCTCAGAGCCATAGTCATGCTGCTGCCTCTTAGTGGAAATAAACAAGAGCTGGCACATTAGGACGACTTTCAAGGAATTAAATTGTAGTTTAAGAAAGGCTGCTATATTCCTTTTCAAGATGAGACTTGGGCTTTTTAGGTTACAAGGTGCTACAACAGTAACTATGTCAATAACTGTACTGGGAAAACCTGCAAGAGATGAAATTTAAGAACTAAACTGGAAGGCAGTAGTTCCTAGCTCACTAACAGTTGTGATGATGTCATAGCATTTAGGGACACAGAGCTTCATACATGCATTGGGTCTTAAGTGATGGATAATGATCACTTTTCTGTTCAAGAATGTATGCAGCTGATTGCTATTACGGTATGACACATTTCCAGCCTTGAGAGGACAGATGCAGTTTCAGGCAAGTGATAAGCAGCATTATTACAGAACATGGCTTCAGGGAATCCATGCCCCTATACTTGCACATCATTAGCGATTTTATCTTTTCAAGAGATGTACATCTAGTTACTGCTTATTCTAGTCCAACAAATATTGTTTAGAATGATTCTTCAGATTACTAGGCTTTTAATTTACTGTGCACACAAACATCCAAAAGGAAGATTCCTTTATAGACAGTTATTTTAAACCTTATTTGTATTTTTGAACATTCACCTAGTGTCAAATAATAATAAATACACATATTTCTCAGCATTAGAATAAACTGTCATAATGGAAAAAAAATCTTTGCAAATTATTATCTTTACATTATATAGATGGGAAAACTGAGGCACAAGATTATTTTCTCAAGTATCATGAAGAAGTCAGTAGCAGAGCTGGAAACATAGGAACAGACTAAAACTCCAACTATTAGTCAATTAGCGCTTTCCACTTTATTGGTACAACTAACAAAATTCTGTTACAAAAAGATTCTAATAAAAATATGCTATTCAGCAGAACATGTAAAGAAGAGTGGAATTATTCTGAAGTAGGCAAGACACTAAATGGAAAAGCTGTTTTTTTCAAAGCACATACTGATCTATCACTATTTAACACATTTTTCAATGGGTTTAACTGAATGTCTTCAGTACAGCCTTACTGTTGCCTAATATTGCCTAAATTAATCTGGGTGAAGTGACTTCCTTTGTGTTGCTTGTTTGCAATATCCTTATAAAAGTGAGTAAGCAGTAATATTTAAGATAAATCCACAAACCTCTGTCATGTTCTTTTAAGTCCACTGGATGCTCCATTTTAGTGACTGTGCTGACAATCCTGACATCAGGTAACAAAATAACACCTCTTTCACTTTCAAATTGTGCAGCTGGTCTAGCAAAGTGGTCCATCCCACTTATTGTAATCTTGGGCTCATTGGCCTGAAACACCATTACATATGCGTCTATATCTGGGATACTTATGCAGACATCTTCACCAAAACATCTGAAAAATATATTATTCATTAACTGCATGTAACACATTGCACATCAGAGGTGTGTGGCGCTTGCACTGCCCAAAACCCACCTGATGGCTCTCATCCTTTTGTTTTCTCTCAGATCAGTCTATTCCACACTTTGGCACTGCCACACATAGGGACATGCATCTGTACCACCATGTACATAGGCCAGCAGTGACTGTCACAGCTCTGTTCCTCTCATCCCCTCCCACATTCACAGCTACTGAAATTAGCTAGGAACAGCTTTAGCAAAAAGATTCATGACAAGCTCAGTCTGTAGTAAGGTCACTAGGAGACTAATAGATTGATGTTTAACTGACATTTAAATGGTTAAAAAAAATTAAAGTTAATTAGATGGTAACAGGTAACTTTAGGAAACCTAACATTAAATTCTCAAAGTAATAGCTAACGAACATAATATGGTTATTTTGTCATGTGTGAATAAAAGGCCCTTATTATCCATTTAAATTGAACCCATCATGAACTCATTCTGGCACCCACCAGTATTTGCCGGGGACAAAAGGGGCCTATATTAGCATTTTCATATGAATCAGCAATCAGCACTGTGCTTTGGGAGTGAATCTCCTGACAAACTCTATTTTACTTCACCTCTGCACAAGGCTCGGGCCAGCCTTGGAGTGCAAACTGGACTGCTTCCAGTGTCACTACTGTTGCATGAAAATGGAAGGACATGGATTTCTGTTTAACACCCACCCCAGTACTCCAGCACTGACAGCCATATAAGGATACAGACAGACAAGACTATTTCAAGCATAGCTACAAATACTGTTCTTGCAGCTATGTCAGCTGTTAGATGTAACAGGCCTGATTTAAAAAGTCCTGGCTCTACCTATCTCAGAAGAGATAGGTACTTTTACCTATTAGGTAACTTTTAAAAATGAACAGTAAAATAAGAATGTAATAAATGTAAGTACTGTTCAGTCCAGACTATATATTCCAAGCTATAAACAGAATACAAGTAAATTACAGGAACAAGAGAAGTTTCTTAAAAGGACAATATTGAAAGAAAACCACATCATAAATCAGCATAAAAGTAAATGAAATTCATCCTTTATGCTCAATAACATAAAAGTATGATTTAGCAATGTAATTTCGTCAAAACCTCTTCTTTTTAGAGGTCCAAAGAAAAAAGTAATTCGTTAAAAATATTCCTAATCTAATCAGTTTGTCTGAAGTATAACTTACTGGACTTTAGATGAGACTTTGAGACGTCGTACGCCTGCAGTAGGAAACTGTCTAGAGTTGATGTATGAGACCTTTTGGAGAGCTTGATTTATATTCTCAATGTCATCTCCTTCCATGACAAGGACTGACTGGGAAGGGTTGAAGTGATACTAGGAGAAATGCATATAATTAGTATTTAAGGTAGCAGGTACGGAGTACAATATAAGACACCTCTAAGTAATGTTGCACAGATGTGAGTTTAAAATTTAATGATTTAAGAAAACAAAATTCTTACTAGCTACCATTGGCTGAATCCATATGTTGTTCCCTAAAACACGTACTTGTAGTAGTCATGTATTTCGTGTCTGATAACTACTGTTATAATTAATTTAATAGTAAACTAATCCGGATTTGCTGTACTTTGCCCAGCCTTATCAGCTTTGCTGATACCATTTCAAAACCTTAACTGTCTGTCATCATTATTATTACTATGTAATTTTTTTAGGGTAAACACATCCCCCATATACAAATACTGGCTTAAACAAGAGTAGCATGCAGCGGCATATTCTTCCTGCTTTCTATTTGGTTTTACCCTGGGCTATCTTTCTGAGATATATTTCAACATGAATGAATACAACAATTGTAACATTTACCTCCTACATCTTCATTAATGTCAGACCCAATATAGGGGATTCTCCTTTGTCTGTCTCATGATCAATAAGGGTGTCATGATTTAAGATGGAGCTCCTACATGCAGAAAGCCAGTTGCTCATTTGAGCCAACAAACCTTGCAAAGTCAATCGCTATTCTTGTAGCCCTGATCTTTCTCTAGCCCATTGCATTGAACATTAAACAGTCTTGCTGGCCGAGAAACTTTGCTACTATATTCACATAAAACCAACTGATTTTATCTGCATCATAATTCATCCTGATTTCATTTTTTGGTCTGTTTATGAGTTCAGCAAACCATCTGCATTGCAGAGAAAACCAGATTAACCCCCTTGATTTTGTACCCTACTGTTGTCAGCAAAAATGCAAAGAAATGCACCCTTTTCTTACATGCAGACCCTTCCCAAAGCTGCGTATTGATCATATGAACATGTTCTATTATATACAGACAATGGATGTCTACACTTCCTTACAATGAGAAAGGTTAAACAGTAAAAGAGCAAATAGACTGTGAACAACAGAATAAAGCACGGGGTTCTCTGCTGAACAGAACACAGAGGACTGGGTTTAAAGCTTGTGCAGGAAGGTCATAACACATGGAAGGGTATTTTTTTAACAAAGAAAGAGGACTAACATGAGTCACAGCCTGCATAAACTTATTTTTCCTTTCTGTAAGTGAGCAGTATTAGAGAATAAAATTAGCAAAAAGAGACTCTAGCTAGCTAGTTAACTTAATAGCTCAGCTGTCAGAACAGCTGGAATGCTGCCAAAGGGATTGGAAAAAGCCTTAGTCTGAGCCATTTTTGTCTTTCTCATTAAAAAAGGCTAAAAATAGTGACAGTTTAGACAGTGTTTCTGAAAGCTGCTACAGATATCTAAAAATTAGGCTACAGAAGAAAAAAAGTCCAATACTAGTGTCAGAAACTGTATTACAGCTGCACTGCTCTTTCTTAGGTGGCTAAAGGGTGAAGCTTCATGAGTCCAAAGTGCCAGCAGAAACACCTTCCAACATCAGTTTGCCAACATTGAATCTGCTAAGCAATATGTAAATAGCCACACAGAAACTATCTGTGCAACTGTCACACATGCTTGTCTAAGATCAGGTATGTTTATTTTTGACACGAGGAGCCCTTTCTCTTTATTAATCTTCTGTTCAAGGTCAGGTGCCAACTCTTCCACTTTCATCTGAGCTTCTTTCTGTCTGCCCTGATAAGAAACCCTACCACAATCTGACTGCCCCTTTCATTTTTGCCTCCTGCTGTTGAGCTTGCTGAGGAAGTAAAAATGAAAACACTAACTTTAAAAAAACAGTCTCATCTGTATTTTGGAAAATGAACATGTTTTGAAGTTTGGTGAAAGAAAGAAAGAAAAGGCAGAAAACAATCCCTCATCTCCATGTTCCCCACTGCACTGCTAGTACAGTAAAGAAGCCGATCACCCATGCTGGTGCAGCAGTGGGTGGTATAACATGGATTTTTCCAAGCCCATGAAACAAGACTACTCAAATATTGCCAAGTTTTAGAGTGCGACAATAGGAAGGAATTACTATGCTTTTAAGCACCATGGACCAAGTATACACTGCTTTAATTCATGTAAAATCCCAGCAAAGAACCTACTGGTAGGCATATACACTTGTTCCAGAAAATCCTACCTGCTCTTTGTATGCATTGTATTTTTTTTAAATAGCTTTTATTTATAAGTGTGTTATTTTGCTGGGAGAAGCAATGTGAAATTCTTGGTAGCATGAAGAAAATAAAAAATTTTAGGAGCGTTTTGCTCATATGTAAAAGCTAGCAAAACTCCTCCTTACCTTTGCACTTTCAATTTTCATTTTTACCCTTGTTTTCAGAAAACATACTGGTTATACTACAGCACTGTAACTTATCACCCAGACAGGCATTTGAGTGTATTTCAGGTCAGTCTCCTATCTTTAGCTAATAAAATGTAGTACATGGCACTTCCACTGCATACTCCAGATCAAGTGTTACAGCACCATCCTCCTCCCCACTGTAAAACAACATACTAAAAAACCGCCTGTGCAGTTTCACAGGATGCATGGTCTGCAGCCAAAGTATCTTCCCAGTTTGAATTTGAAGCTCAGCTCCTTTGGAAGATGGTATTGTCATTTGTGGCTGCTAGGAAAGAGCTTAACAGGGTGTTTACACAATAGGCAGAAGAACATCTGTCACCTAATATTGGTATCAGTAAAGGGAAACTGTCAATGCATCTCATGTGAGCATTGGAGAAGTTATAGTCAAAAATCCTACATAGGTATCCAGGAGAAAAGAATTTGTCTTAACGAATGCAAAGCAATCTGGCCAGTATGTCAATCGAAACAGGATTTCCCTCTGTCTGTTCTCTAGTCTTCGAGGAAGTGTTATAATATCAGTAAGATAGCCATATGCATAATGAAGATGGATAATGTTTTAAAAGAAAATGTAACATTTTAATTTCTTGACTTTAGGGTTTTTTATAATCCAATTTTCATATCCCATAATGTTTTCCTCTTGGAACACACCTTGAATTTGTCAATACTATGCATTGGGACCTCTTTCAGAGTTGCCTCTGGGTGAAAGATATTCCAGTTATGTTTTCATTGCTTTAAAGCTACTTCCTTGGAATCATGTCCATTTCTGTAAAACTACCAAAATAAGCATGAGAACATGACCTGGCAATTCTTAGGGACTCTGAAATATCAGCAGCACCTTACTTTCTGAGTATCTAGCTTTGCAATAATGGAAACATTTTTCTTTGCAGCGTCACAGCTCTTCTGCTGTTCTGCTTTTCTTTGCATGACTTTATGGGAAATTACATTGCTTCTGGGAGTACATTTGTACTGTGTGTACTCTACCTTGGGCTCTCCACTTCATATATCAGATCTAAATTTTTATCAAAGATTATGTCAGTTCATCCCTCACCTTTATTCCTTGGCCAAGACTCTCAAGAGAATTAATATCCAGACCTTCCTTGCAGGCTTGCAAACAGGAAATCACTTTCTGACTCTCAATTTTGCCTGGTCGGATAGTAAGACTGGCCAGGCTGCCATGGAAATACTGAGCAAATCTGGGCTTGGTGACTTCACCTCCTGCAAGAAAGAGAATACAAAATTATTATCAATAACAATAAACAAACCAAACATCTAATAATTAATTTTATGTTTTAACACATTTGAAGAATTTATATATATTTTAGACAAGTACATTCAAGATTCCATTTAGTGTGATAAGTGGAATTGCTTTGTGGGTTGTTGGGTGGTACCTAGTAGCAGTCTGTCTTTAAGATTCTTGTCAGTGTTTTTCCAGTATTGCATTCAGGTGTTTATAAAGCTGTGACAACATACTCTGAGATGAAACATAGCTTCCCAAACCTGTGTCCAAGAAAGCACAGCACTTTAAAAAATTGATAAGATTATTGAAGTGATCAAACACAAAATTAAAAAAAAAAAAAAAAAAAAGTCAAAGGTCCAACGTTTATTTATACAGAAACTGTATTTGCAAGTTTTCTATTACAAGATCACTTACACAGACTTTGTCTTTATCCTCCAGAAAACATACTACCCGAGGTTCTGAGATGTGCTAAGAGTCATGGCTCTGTGTAAGCGAACTGCCACCCTCTCTACAACCGGTTGTCTCTAAGGATATGGTGTAAATTCAGAGCAGTGAATGCAGGCCAATGCCCAGCACTATGCTAAAAGCCTTACAGTGCTTCCCTTACCCAGAGCGGCTCATCTGGTGCCAAATCAAGTCTCGTCACTGCACGCTGCATTAGGCCCTCTAGCTATGCTCCATTCAGCTTCACTCTAGGCAGTTTCAAAGGAAGACTGATCTTTAGGAGTTGTCAATAAAATGTGATTACATACTGCCTGCACCAGTGATCATCGCATCTAAATTACTCTTGGGATATTTACTGATTTACGTATTCTCCTCCACAAGAATTTTTAGAGCCTGTCTTTCCTGCAGGTGCTAGCTATATCAGTGCATGTGAATTACTGCCTACCTTGAGCCTGAGAGGACTAAGAGAGCCAGTGAAGCCACACAGACTAATTGGATTAGCAGTTGATAAACTGTTGTAATTGGTAGGTAACTCATCTCTACAGTGTTTGTAGCTTTTGTGTCAAACAAGCTATTTCTGACAGGTAAGCTAGCTCAAGCTTGAACTTTAACTTGAAGACTTGTGTGTGGATTTGGGGTCGGATAAGGTGAAGTGGCAAATTTTCTTCTGGCTGATGTTGCAACCTAAACGTCTGAAAAACATCACTTCTAGTCTGTGGAGCATGAACACTATGAAGAAGATTTGAGTTATTTTATGTAGCAAAGAAAATACACACTGGTGTACTGAGAGAAAAGAAGGTGTCTAAGCAGGCTGTTTCTTTGTAGAAGTAGATAGGTTTTGTTCATCTTTGTTAACATTGCAGCACAAACTACCTCTCTTTTTACCCCAAAGAAAGATCCTCAAGGAGAGATTATTCTCCACTCTTTCATTCATTTGTCCATTATACAGAAAACTTCCTCTGGGAGGAATTTTTTTGAGGTTTCATAGAAACTTCGATGTATGCAACAGCTAAAGTGCAGGATTAGTTTGTTCTGTAATTTTGGCCTTTCTGTTACTTACCAAGACAATTTTTTGTTAAATAGTGCATTATGGTGACACTGGCTTTTCAGCAAAAATGTTATATTTACCTGTTTATATCAATCTTTAAAAGTACATGTTGCCACTAATACAGAAGCAATGTGTCTGGACAGAAAAGGTAAGCTAAATTAAGAAAAAAAAAATCAAATCTCTCCATAAAAAGGAGATAAAGAGAGAAAAATAGATAAGAAGTTACAGAAGAAGTGAATCACATTGTGCTTTGAAGTTTGAAATTCTCATATCCCTAATGGTATTCTGAGAACAGCAAGTTCCAAGGCAAAAACACCAACAGTAATCCTGGAGCTTTGAAATTTAGAAACCTACAGTAAGTCTGTCAGTAGACCTTAATAGTTCTGAGGAGATGCAAAATAAGAAGCAGTCTCAGATAAGCTAATGTATTTAAATATGAAAGTGGCTTATTTAAATGTGTACAGAGCTAGACAAGATAGAAGAGACAATTCAGTGCTATGGCTATGCCTGACAGAAACAAGCAGGATTAGCCAGTTGAAGTAAAGCTATAGAGCAACACAACTGGTGTTTACATCCATGAATAGGAATTTCAGATTTTTTGGATTTTTTTTTATTGGTTGGTCTTTCACTTTGGACTAGTTCTTCTATGGTGTCATTGACAAAGCACTTACAATTACATTGCTAGGTCATTTACAATGATACAGTAGTTGCCCATAAGCAATATTAAATATACAGAGTATTCACTGTGCTCAAGCCCCACTTTTTTAAAAAAATGCTGGTGTACATCTTGGGGTTGTATAATTCAAATTTAAAGTCATCTGTCCTGTAAGCCATCTGCCCAACCACTAACATAAAGCATGGAAGAGATTATGAGTGTTTCTAGGAATAAGCTTTTAAAATGCTCTGCAAATACTGTCATTCAAAACCAGTGAGTATTTAAAGAACATACTTATCCTGTTCACAGGACTAAGGCTGGGTTTTGTGTAGATCACAAATGTAGACATGTAGATCAATTTTGGACTGTAAAGGAGGTGATGTAATTTTTGTTATGGAGAGACTATCAACTGCTATGTGAAAAAAGCAGGTATTTCAAGAAAATATGAGTGAAAAATAGGTGGGACTAACTAGTCCTTATTGTGTTACTAGAGAAAATCTGCAAAACTACTCCTGTAGTTACAACTGGGTGATTCAGGCTGGGACAATTGCACTAGAACAAGGGATAGCAGTCTCAAGGGACACTGAGGGGGGATACCGTCTGCTCCCTAGCCCCAGGACAAGAACAGCTGTACTTAATCTATTCTTGAGAATTGCCTGAGCTGTTCTAAACTCTTATGAAGACAGACACTCCCCAAGCAATCCACTCCAGTGACCATCGATCCTTAGATTTGGAAGCTTAATTCCTAACAGGGAATGTGAGCCTTCAAAATATGGCTATGCCTTCTTTTCCTTCACCAGGGTAAACGAGGCTTCTACATCTTCTACTTAACACTGTAGACTATGATCATTCCTGTTGCTTTTCCTGGAACTCCTGCTGTTACCTGAAGTACTAACCATAACCTAGTGTTCTTATCAACATTACCTTGTTTTACATAGGACATGCCTGTTAATCCAGGGCAGTGTCAGTATGAGATTTTTTCACATGAAAAAATATGAGCACATGAAGAGAGGATACTATCTCACACTTTATTAGAAAAACTAGACTGGTAAATAAGCCTTCCATAAGCACCTTTTACCAGAGTTAAAGACAAAATTATACACCTGCCAATTTTATCCTCAAAGGTGAACAGAAGTCATTACATCTGACTCTTATCGCAGCTGCTTGTAATTGCAGTATGTTGACATTTTGATATTCTTCTACCTCAGCATTTCAGAAACTTCTCAGCTCAGTGGGGTATATTGGCTTGCTGATATGTTTCAATTGCCAGTAATTATTATATTGCAAATGGACAAAATCCAATGCAATAAAATGGGGAAGCCAAACCCAAAACTCTTGCTAAAATTGAAGGAATGGCCTAAAGCCAATCTGCTACAATCCTGTATTATAGCATTGATAAAAGGAATTATTGAGAATATAGTTTTTCAATCTCAAAATAATTGTCACAATAAATTGAAAATCCTCAGCAATTGGCTGTTTTAGTCCTGCCTGTATCAGTGTTTTATTCATGCTTTGTTCTACTATGTTAGTATGCGTGAATGCTGTGTTTCCTGCTTTAGTATTCTAATATTCTTTAAGTATTTGACCTCAGCTTCTCAATGGGTGCAAATTTAGTCTAGGATGGCCAATCTCCAAGTCCTAGTCACTCTAAAATTCTTGCCTCCCAAAATCAGATGAGTATAAATATATTTAATCCAGCATGAAAATGGCAATTCTGTAGCACCTTAAAGCAGAGTGTGTAATTGTAGCTAATGCTGATATTAATATTTTTACAGAGTATCATCTAAATAATGATCTTTCAAATAGAGATCCTTTGCCCTTGGGCATGATACATTTCATTCCTGTGCAGCTCCAGATGCAGCTGACAGGCAACTCACAGCCACTGACTTCACTGGGCAGGAGGAATGCTCAGTTGCATTGTCTGAATTTGGCTCATCACTGAAATTACCACATGCTAAGAAACAAATGAGGAAAGGCATAAACTACTCCCAACAGCCCTTACTGCTTTAAGACACTTTGAACTTAACTCTTGGTTCTGACACAAAACTGAGTCTAAGCAACAATATTTTTGAGATAATGAAGAACTAAATAGATTACACAAGCCTCTGGAGCAACAACTCAGAGAACGAAGTGGAGTTGCAGTGGTGATGATCTTAAGGTAATCCATGTCCTAACATTTTTCTACTTCCCAATGTCATGGTGTAGTGAAAAATAAAGTGTTCTGTAACATAGCATCCTCCAGTTTCTGTCCAGAGGTCAGGCCATCCAGTTAACCTAGACTGACTCAGCAACTTTCATGGGATGTTTTGCTGTCAGGGTCTTTTTGCACTTTCTTGTGAGATAGAGCTCAGATACAGCTCACCTCCGTAATGATGTTATAGCATCAAGACCTGAGAGAATAAGAAAACATACTCTTCAACTGTGTTACATGTTATGTTTCATTCAGCTCTATGTTTATTGATTACTATGGATTAATATGCTGTGAGTGTTAATTCTTGAGGGATAGTTAAGTAGTTAAGACTTAGCTGAATGATGCAACCAGCAAGGGAAAACGGAACCTTCTCTACTGTTTGTCAGGGAATTAGGTTGACGTCTGTAACACAAAAAGAGACTGAAACAACACTATAGAACAACATCAGTTATTCTCACTACAAACCCTTGCATGACAAATTTTTGAAGCTAATGGGTTTCTTTTTCCCTTCCTTAAACATAAATGTTGCAGTCACTAACACAGTTGTGAGGCACCTCAGGCCACAGTGTTAGTCAAACCTCGATAAAAGTGTGCACTGCTTTTTCCACCTGACCCAGCACGCACATCCACTCCCAAAGTC